TACCTGTCCCTTCATCCAAAATACATTTGTCCCAAGAAATGTGATTAAAGAGAAACTGCACAAGTAACAGCGTAATAAATAATAAAAAATAATCACTTTTTCATTCTATCACCCGTCAGTCAGAAATACCTACAGAGGATGAGGTGCGTTACCAAGTGTAAGAAAGGGGGAAAAAAAATCGTTACAAATAAAAGAACGGCAGACCACTGAAAGGGCGAGGTCTGCCATTCATGAGCCTGTTTAATATCTGGAGTTGAAAGCAGATCAAGTTGTTGGTTCGTGGATGTAAACCTGGAGTTGTGGGGCAGTGTTCAGTTACGTTTTGACTTGCTATATGAAACTGTCGAGGTTTGGCGGAAGGGGGGGTTTCCACATTACCGTTATTTGTGTCCCAATTTAGTCATTTATGTATTTATTTTACCCGCTCCTTTTACCCCATGCTTTGGTTTCAGTTTTTGCATTGCTAAGCGATTACATTGTAGTCATGTTTGCTTGTGTCTCTCTCAAAGACAACGACCAGCCAGGCGATCTTTCGTCTGCAGTCAGGAGTGTGCCAACTTTTCAGAGATACCCTCAATAAAAAGGGCTTTGTGGAGATTCAGACACCTAAAATCATATCAGGTACACACACACACACACACACACACACACACACACACACACACTCATACATAGTGGTTCTTTGATCTCCTGGGAAATCAGAGACAGGTTTTACGAGCAATGCACTTTCTATATCACTATCCGCATGTGAAATGTAAGTCATTGCCTTATTGAAAACTGTAAAGTTAGTTTTCAAGTAAGAGCGGTGCAATTTCTTTGCCTCTACTTGATGGGGGAGCCCGAGTTAGCGGACCAACCTGTTTTACTGAATGAGATAGTATGCCCGCATGAATCAACATTTTGACATCATGGCATTAATTGGACAGGGGCTTCAACATTCTTCTCGGAGTCCTCCTACTTATTTAAAGAATTACCCTGCCAAGTGGATGTCTTAACTGTTAACATCAAGAATTATGGATTGCTTAGTATTCTGTTTTCAGCACACATTTGGAACTGTTTCAACGTCTTATTATAGTCACTGTTACTTGTAAAGATATCATAGTTCTGACATTAGCTGTGGTTTAAATTACAATGCATTTGTTCAGGACCAAAGTGGATATTGTTTCAAGATCTAAAGTCCCAAACTCACAATAACGAATAGAACATGCCGAGTTGTGTTACGCAACACAGTGTGCTGTTATGCAACACTTTCACTTCTTGCTTGCTTCAAGAGCCAATGAAAACGACTTTACTCTGTGCCTCGCCATTCAAACGTAGCGCTCTTTATTAGAGCGGCAACTGTAAATCCGCGCAATGTACTTGTTGCAAAAACCACACCTTCCTGTTTGCCAACACCCTAGACACGTAACAGTTGTTTACGACATTACATGGGCCCCTCACGCTACTTTTGTAGGCGTGCAAATATTAGATAAAAACATCTGCGTCAAATGAAACTGCTGACGTTATGTCAGACTTACTGGTTTGTGGGGTACTTTTCAGAAACAAATTAAGACAGATTTTAAAGTGTTTGCTCAAATTTAATCCAAACCTTCTTTATTCCAACTCCAGCTGCCAGTGAGGGTGGAGCCAACGTCTTCACTGTGTCTTACTTTAAGACCAGCGCCTACCTGGCCCAGTCTCCCCAGCTGTATAAACAGATGTGCATCTGTGCTGACTTTGACAAGGTCTTCTGTGTGGGTCCAGGTAAAAAAAAAAAAAAAAAGCATACAATATTAACTGACACAACAATGCAGTCCGGCTCTGTGAAGTCAGTTTATACAAGTAGGCATGTCCTTTGGTTATTCTCGACTTGATATGTTATGAACCATTCGAGATTAATGTAACACCACCAGGATGAGCCAGCCTTGGTTTTTTTTTTCTTTTTTTCTTCTCAGTTCGCAAGAGAAATCAAAGGACTTAAGGTCATCACTGTATCTAAGGCTTGAGTACACTGTACCGCGGTTGCCGTAGTTACAGCGGGACCATTTGGGATCAGCACTCTGGCAGCCCACTTCTGTAGCGTCGTCCACTGAGGACGGATTTTTATGTAAACATAGCATAGGTCTAGGTCGCAGAGGAGCAGATGTAATGCCTGTTTGAGTTATTATTCAAGGGTCAGATGGTTTCAGCTTTGTAGATTCTGGACTAAAGTAGTCTACAGAAGCAGGCTTAAATGTGTCAAAGTTGTACTATTCATGCCCACCTGCCTTGCCTGATTTGCAGCCCCAGTTGGAAGTCCAGTTAACAGTGTTTGCATCTGACTTTGAGAGACACACAGTCCTTTTGGAAAAATATTGTTGATGTTGCTGCGAGGCGTTCATTGATGCAGCTTTTTAATAGCCTCGCACCTATGTGAATTGCATACATTAGTAGCCATTCTCCTGATGGCCAGCAGCAATTAGTGGCTAATTATGGTTGGCAGCTAATTATTAGTACGTTATGATCGCAGTTGTGTCAGTCATCATAAATGTACCTGCCAGTCATCAGTAGTAAACAAAATGAAGAACTTTGTTGTGCTTCACAATCACATACGAATTGAATCCCTAATAGAAAACAGTAGCCTGCTTCTGATAAATATTTTTTTACGCCAAGCTAATTAACAGTAGCAGACTTTTTATGGTGGGGGTTTTTGTTCTTCCTTTTAATAGAGTATTTTAACACACAGCAGCTGGAAATTTTAAAGGAATATTTTAACCATTTTGATTAAAGTTGTTGTGCTTGTTAGTTTTCAGAGCAGAGGACTCCAACACTCATCGTCATCTCACTGAGTTTGTGGGTCTGGATATTGAGATGGCTTTCAATTACCATTACCATGAGGTCATTGACTCCATCACCGACACCATGGTCCAGATCTTTAAAGGGCTGAGAGACAAGTAAGTGTTACTACCTTACTAATATGGTCATTTGAATTTTCAAATAAATTGAGGCTTCAGTCAAACCTCTTGTGTTGTCTTATCACAATGAATGGTGAGGAGATGCATGCCACAATATTTTGCTTCTATGACACAAGATCGATCTTGACAAGCTCCTTTTATGGAAAAACGTGATATTTTATTTTCTGACAGAACTATTTTGCCAGTTCAGATGTTATGGGCTGTCAGGCTTTTGTCAGCTGTGTGGAAAGCTGCTAAACGGTCAATGCGCTGATGTTCCATGTGGTTTCAGTGCCTCCTAGTGGTGGCATTTGGCAGTAAATACACAAAATTACCCACTCAACTAGATCTGCTTAGTCAGCATGAAGTGATGGAGGGCTGAGCAATTACTGGGTCGCAGTAACGTAAGTCTATATGCATCAGCTTCCAGACTGAGATCCAGACTGTAAACAAGCAGTTCCCCAGTGAGCCTTTCAAGTTTCTGGAGCCCACTCTGAGACTGGAGTACAAAGAGGGTTTGGCGATGCTGCGTGAGGCCGGGGTGGAAATGGGCGATGAGGAAGACCTAAGGTCAGAAATTATCACATTTAGATGAAAGCTAAAATGTTTGAACCCGGGAAGCTGTACAAAAAATATTTCCAGAGGTTGGAATGAACGAGTCACTGATAAATTAACATTTTTGTAGCACGCCGAATGAAAAACTACTCGGCCGCCTTGTCAAGGAAAAGGTAGGTCCAAATGTGTTCACTGGGTATCCTGCCTGTCACCCAGAGTAACTTCAGACAGGCTCCACAACATCCCATCTCGTCAGTATGTTAATATATTTTTCCCACCCACTAGTATGATACCGACTTCTATGTTCTGGACAAATATCCGCTGGCTGTGAGACCTTTCTACACCATGCCTGATCCCAACGACCCTGTAAGTGAACTCAAAACATAGAACTACTGTTCCCTGCTTCACTGTGAGTAACGTGCTTGCATATCTTTTTTTTTTCTTATGTTTTTAATCCCAGAAAAATTCCAACTCCTATGACATGTTCATGCGCGGAGAGGAAATCTTGTCCGGAGCTCAGAGAATCCACGACGCTCAGCTGCTGACCGAACGGGCCATGTATCACCAGATTGGTAAGAATTAGGGCATCACAGTATGGCCCACCCCCACCGAGCAATTGCATGATCCATACCTCTGTAGTATTCGCTTTATTTTTTTTCTAAAATGGTCTAACTAAAATGAATGTCTTCATTGTGTATGAATTAATCTCATTGTGTAATTGAGCATAATGAAATTAAAAATTGAATTTTAAAAAAAAGCTTGGTTTTTATCCAATAATTAGTCACCTCATCTGCAAATTACGTGGCCCATGTGTCTGTTTTGAAAATCTTTGAGCACTAATGTTTCCCTGCCTGAGCCACAGCATGCAATGTTTCCTGATGTGAGGTGCTCATGAGGTTTGTCTCCCTCTGCAGGGGACAGCGGGGAACAAAAAAATGCACAAGAAAATTATTGTGAATCATTGGAGCCACGCTTTGTGAATGTGGATGAAAGATGGAAAATAGTCATATGTGACCTTCGATTTTTTTTTTTTCACAGATCTGGAGAAGATCAAGGCATACATTGATTCCTTCCGCTTTGGCGCCCCCCCACATGGCGGTGGAGGCATTGGTATGGAATACTGTACACATGAATTTGCGATATATTACATCCATTTTCATACCTCAAAATTAATGTTTATTTCTGCGTAACAGTTTCATTGTGTATTTTTTATTCTGATCATTTGTTGTAGTTGGTATTTTTTTCAACAATCTGCTGTGCGCCGCTGGAACACCTGAATTTCATTTCTGGAGACCAAAAATACATCTTAATGCATTGTGCTCAAATTGTGTTGTTGTAACTTTATTATTGTTCCTTGCAGGCCTGGAGAGAGTCTGCATGCTGTACCTGGGGCTCCACAATGTGCGCCAGACCTCCATGTTCCCCCGTGACCCCAAACGGCTGACACCTTGAAACTGTCAAGCCAACTTTTTAACACCAGACTATTAAAAACTCACATAACGGTGATGGGAAATTACTAATTCACCATGTCGATTTAATGGGTTAGTGCCCCTCTTAAAGACACTAACCTGATACTGGGATTAAGTTTTACTCTGAGAGATTGGAGTCAGTGCAACAAGAGGGAAATTTTATTGATTGTTGTGAACAGATGTCTTAACAACAAACAACAGTTGAGAGAGAGGAGACGTGCACTCGAGTTAGATTGGAAAGATGCACTAGTCAACTGGTCAGGATCTCTTCACAAGAGAGATAACTACCAGTTTTTACCATACTGAAATCCTAACTACCTCCAACTAACCATTGTGGTCTCCTACAATATGCCTGTAACTAGATGAGTCTTTTTTTAATCTAAAGCAAAAGAACAAATCATGGCTAATAAAAATATTTTCAAAGCATAAATCACTGGATTCTTTTGTTTCGCTGATGATTTTCCACACACTAACTTGGGGAAGATCCATTATCAGCAACATACCGAATGAACGTTTCGGTTTCCTCAACAAATGTCAGCTGCCCTTCTTCATATATGACAGGAATAATGCAAAGTGCTCAAGTGTTGGCGGCAAAACAGCAAGTGCAACATTGAAATACTTACAGCGCATACTTTACAATCGTTAGGTAACGCAGGATAATGTTAGTCCAAGCTCCGATGTGACATGTTGTGCTCTCTCCTTGAGCTTATTCAGTAGCTGAACCACTGATTTGGAGCATGAAGAGGAAAATGTGAACAATATCAATGTAGAGTGACAGTGCTCCGTAAACGTACTCTTCTGGGCTTAACGCCAACTCCCGGTTTCCGATGAGAAGCTGCGTGTTGTATACTAAAAACTAACAGAAAAAAAAAATACAAGTTTAGTCACCAAAAAAGAAGTTATGTTGCCTTAGGAGAGGATGTCTGAACATTTTTCACTGCTGAAATATTTGTTTTCACTTGGTCTCAGCCTAGAACACAGACTGAACACCCTGTAAAGTGAAATCACAAATGTGTTTCTCTGTTTTGCAACTTGACAGCCAGTGGATGGATGGGAGGTTTCTTGCGGGCGTGAGAGCGCCTTGTTGTCACGGCATGGAAAAACCTCAAGATAAATGGGATAAATTGCATTACAGCCACTGAAGGCTTTAAGCAGATACTTATTTGTGGCGTCACATGTAAGACATACTGTATAAGTATGATGCTAATGAAATAGCATCCATTTTTCCAGGACTAGTAAGCGGTGCTAGTTGATAGTTGAACAGTGTCAGAGACCAGTGAGTATGGATTGAACTGTCAGGATTTTGAAGCCTCATTTTAAATACAATTTAAAAAAATATTTTTTTAAGTAATTCATGACTGTCAATACTCTTCTCTGTGGTGTATCAAATTTAGAAGACATTTGTTTTCACTTTGCAGGGACTTCAGCAGTTTGCCAACTGAACAGAGTCAATCTCGAGCTTACCAAGGTGTAAATGATTGCGCCAATGGCAGCATAGAGCATATGAAGCCATGGTACCTGTTCAGCGACACAAGAAAAAGGCCTCTGAATGCTTAATTGGTCACGCGGATGCACCCCGCTGAGCGACTGCTTTCTTCAGCGAGAAACATGAGTAGACAGAATCCGTCATAAAAGAAGCCCTTACGTAGTGGAAGGAGAGCACGATGGCTGTCACAGTCCCGATGATGACGAGCAGAATGGCGGCAATACAGAGAAATCCCCCACAGGAAGTGAAGTCAACCTGTGAAGAGAAGTATTTCGAATGGCAGCATACAAGTGAACGGCACGGCTTGAAGGTGCATTTAAATTTGTATTGTAATGAGGCAGAAACCTTTCGAAGGAGTGGATATGGAGCTCTGCATAACAAAGAATGTGACTTTTGTTTTTCATCTCTCAGAAAGATGGATTCACACCGTTCCCCAAAATCTCATCAATATTTAAATGGAACACGCTTCACAGTTGTAATGTGAGACAAAGGAGTTGTTTTACACTGCCAACAAAGACTTTGTGTGACAAACCACAGGCTGCTGAGCCACACACAGACATTCTTTTTACTTGCATCTACCTTGGTTTGAAAGCAGAAGACCGTGACAGTGACACAAACTAACGCTGTTATTCCCATTGCAAGAAAGACCGCTTTTGTTTCATAATAGCTGGAAAAAGATACATATTTTGGTTAAAAGCAGAATATACATCACAATGACGGTGTAGGTTTAAAAAAATATATAGTCATAGGCAAACCTTGAAATTGTTCCAGACATGTAAGACAGTGCAACAGTCTGCAGAAGAAAATTCAGAAATATTATGTCATAAGTTGAAAAAAAATCTGTTTGGCCATAAGGCTCTGCTTGACAAAAACATGGCTTCTGATGTATAATCGCCAGAACTTACAAATACTGCCAGCAGCACCAGATTCCACGGAAAGCGCCTCCTAGACACAGACAGTGTCATGAATGCATGCGTACATCCAAACCCATTTACCAGTTCTTGCTTTTCTGGGGCAGGGTACCTTGGCTCTTTGCAGCAGATGAGAATGCAGTAAACCATAAAGTAAACCACTCTATGAAGAGAAAAAAGCCCCCCACAGATTTTTTAACTTTGCATAACACCCTGGTACATTAAAGGAAGGCGATTTCACAACATTCATTTATATTAACTATGTGTGAGATCAATCAATTGCATTTTTTAAAAAAATAATATAGCAGCATGGGAAATCCCCTGAATGTTCTGAGCTTCTGTTTCAATGCTATGTTGTAGTGAACAACTTAATGTTGTTTTCCCTCGAACAGTGATTCCCAAACAATGTGTCGCAGTACATTAGTATGTTAACTCATTTTATTACTGAACAAATATCCATACTGCCGTCACCGGCAGAACAATTAAATGATACTTGAGGATGAATCAACAGTGTTTCTGCCAAATAGTGAGCTCCACTCTGACTCATTTGCATCAATTCTAATTAACGCATTTACTCCCAAAGACGTTTTTAAACATCTTTTCAGACTTGGTCTAGAATTGGCTGGTACTGAATGAGTTAATAAACATGACTGTCTATTGTTAGAATCTTTGATAATGTAACTATTTTGTAACTCACAAGGATGCCCAATAGATTCCAGGATACTTGATAACAAACATCTTGACTGGTTCACTATAGAAGAGCAGATATAGAGACCACTCAGAACGTACGTAGTGCATGCCCCCACCCGGGCTATTTGGCATGTATCACGTCGACACTTACACAAACGTAAAGACTGCCACAACTGAAAAGGTGACAGTGAGTTGAGCTGCTAAAATTAAGTACACCTGCCAAACAAGCACACAAAATGGTCAGATTTGAGATGTAATGATCGATAGTGCACATATGAGTACCTTTACCTTTCTGATAAAAGCGTGTCGAACAGATGTACTCTCCCACTGTGTGCTCAGAAAGCCCTCCATCTCTCCTGCAAAATTAGGAGAAGAGAACATGTATTAGCATGCGAAAATAAGTGTGGTGCACTACGCGGTGACATTTCCTCCTAACTTGGGTTGGTTGCAGGCATCCCGGCGGACAAAGTGGGTATTGTGGTGGCCATCGCAGATGGAGAGATGCCAGGCGCTGCCCACATGCCGGCCTGGCCCCAGTAGCTAGGTGGGCCAGCGTACATGTCCGGGCCAGGACTGTAGGATGGAGGCAGCGGGTCAGCTGAACCTTGCTGCAGCAGGGTGGGATCGTACTTGGGATGGTGCAGTGCATCTTCATAGGGTGGAGGATTATCTATTTTAGATGTCATGCTTGGACCCAAGCCTGTAAAGTAAATTCAGAAATTTGTTTATACATGTTTAAGTATAATTGCTGAACATGTAAAAAAGAATGAACTGTGTCGTAGTGGTTTCATGGTTTCATCCATCTCCCACTAAAGAAGAACTTGAACACTTTTGTTCGCATCACTGTTTATTCAGCGCATTTATGATAAGCAGTTACTCAGCTCGCTATGCCTACAACTTGAAAATGCATTTTCCCTTCAGATAGTTGGCTGGCGTGGGTGCTGTACAGCGCCTCCACGTCCGTTCTGAGTGCACACATGCCAGACATAAGGCGGAATTGTATGTTGCGGGTCAAATTTGAATGTCATCATGTGGACTTGGGTGTCCGGTTGGCAAGGCCACTTTACAGCACCTGGTTGTCCGCCATGTGTGGAGGGATGCGTGGAAAAGCCCCAAACAACACTGTGGAACATATTCCAGCAACAGCGAGCATCGCAAAAGGAGAGGAAAAGAAGTTGACTAAACAGCCGCGGCCTCGTGCTGGCATGGCTGCATTTGAGACATTGGATGCTTTTGCAGCTCAAACAAATTCATGTGTAGATATATTTAACATCCCCAACAAGATAGCAGTCATTTTTCTCAGGGCCTAGAAATGGTATTTGACTCACGGTTCGCATTTGAGCGGCATGAGGTTTCATTGCATTTAGTGGACACCAGAAGCATTTGAGAGTGGAGAGAACAGTGTGATTTTTCACAAATTTGAAGCCTCATTTTGGATCCATGCTGTTTTAAATTTGGCAGGGATGTGAGCACCACTTTTCTCTGTGGTACGTCAGATTTCCAAGAAAAGATTTTCACTATATAGTGACTTCAAACGGATGGTAACAAACTGTTATCGTCATCAGTCACATTCATTTGTCGGGCTCTTTTTTGTAAAACTGCAGTTTAAAAGCAGCCATAGAGCAAAGATTGACCATCTTTCAAATTTCACATTTGTGTTACCTGCACAAGTATGCAAATGCATATACGAAACAAAAATACATGATGGATTGGTACACGCAGAGCAAAAGACTCCTAAACTAAAATAAAGCATAAAAACAAATTTGAGGTTCCATACCTGCTCCTTCTGCTCTGTCCCTCTCCTAAATGCGCACCCCACTCCTCAGTGTCATAGGATATGCGTTTTGTAACTTACACGAGTCTAGTCAACACTGTGTCATATGCCGAATGCTCCAGTTACATTCTTAATCGTTTTAAAGAAAAAAAAATGGTGTCGAGGTAAATTTCTAACCACAGCATCCATTTCTCTCATGGCACCTTTTACGGTACAGTGTCAATAAAAGCAGAATATAGATTGTCTCAGGAACAGACCTGTGTGAATGCTGAGGTAGACCTCAGACAGTTCTTGCAAGATTGGACCCTAGCATGTATTGTTTACAGAGGTGAATTCATTTAAAAATGTAATGCATTAATGTCAACCATAGGATTCTAACTTTAATCTAATACTGATCGGAGTGAGGAACATAACGCAAGGAAATAAACACTTGGCTCAATGATTCTGCTCCAAATCTAATGAAGACAATCATCAGGGAAAATATGAAAAGTAATCGTGTTTCATTAAATACTTTTCTTTAATTAAGGTTTCAAGCACTAAGACATGTTAAAAATATATTTTTTAAATTCGGTATATGTTTACGTTCGCTACGTTTGTCTTACGTCATCACGTTCTTCCTGGCTCAGACGTGATGGCGCTTCCTGACTGGGTTATCCCAATCACTGTAGTCGCATCTTTCGTCTCGCTATGTTTATTTGTTCGCTTCAGACGCACCGGACTTCTACTTTGGAGGAAAATATTTAGCGAAATAATGGCTCGCACAGAGAAGCCATTATTCAGAATCGCGTAAGTTTCTTCTAACGACAACAATGTACTGTCGTATCGTGTGTTGTTGGTGGTTGATTCGCTTTAGCGAAGCAGCATCTTCTAGCTTTAGCTCCAAGGCCATTTAAATATATGACTAATATAAGTGTATAATTTTAAATTGGTCGCAGCAGCTAGTTAGAGCAACTAAGCCACTCTATGTTAATGTTGTATTCGTCATACGGTTTGCTTGTCAGTTCTGTATGCACCGTCCGTAAAAGGAATATAATTACGTTATTAATATTACTAGGAACTTATTATAATGCTAATAACAGACACAGGGAGGAATACAGATCATAATGGTTTCAGATATTGACCAATGTTTTGTTTTGTCCGTGTTTCATTATTTGCCTTTTACATCCACCTATAATATGTTTTCAAAATATATTATTTTTCTTTTTATTAGGTACACACTGTACACCAAGACCAGTCTTGGCTACATGTTTTACAAGCGGCAGATGAGGAAAGCCCGAGAACGCTACCCGACTGGACACTCTACAGTTCTGCCTGTGCAATTTAGTGGTATGGCCTGGATGTCTACATGTTTTATTTAGGTTAAATCTATCAATGGCAGCTGGTTCAAGGGTTGCTTTTTGGTTCTGGCCTTCCGGCATGACATTTGGGTGTTCTCCCTGTGTTTGTGTGGGATGAGGACTCTAAATAGGTGTGCAGCTATGTGTGGGTGAATGGTTTTATGTATGTATACATCCTGCCTGTCACCCAAAGTCAGCTGCGATAGGCTCCAGCTCACCATGACCCAAATGCGGATATGTATTCAAGGAAATGATTGGCTAGATCTGTCTAATAATACATGATTAAGTCTGTTACAAGTGTATGTTTTGTCCTTTGCACTCCTACAGGTATGAAAATCATTCCCATCTCTGTGCTGTCAGACAACTACAGCTATATCATAATTGACACCACCTCTGGCGTTGCGGCGGTTGTAGACCCGGCAGACCCTCAAACTGTTCAGGTGACTGGTTCCCAAGTTTTGTATGACGTGAACACACTACAGTGCAAAAAGAAGCATAACCTTACTTAACATTTCAAATATAATGCTCGCCACACATAATTCCGAGTGCATGGAATTATGAATTATTCCATTTAAAAGCAAGCTAAAGTACTCTGTCATGGACTTTGTTTTTGAAATATTTGTTGCATATCTGCCTCACAGTTCATAGGGTTTGAATCTTGGCTCCGGCCTTGCTCTCTCGAGTTTGCACCTTCTCCCTGTACTTGCACGGGTTAGCTATGAGTTCTTGGCTTATTTCCACATTTTGAAAACATTCATGCATGAATTGAATTTATTAAATATGACCTGTTATTGGCTGGCAACCAAAGTTTTTAATGGTTACCAACATCTCACCCAAGCTCACTGCTCAAGCTCAAGCTCATCCGTGACCTGAACGACGAGCACTGTAGAAAATGAGATATAATTTATATTTATATCGATCAATTACCAAATAATATGCTAGCCACTGCAGGTTGTAACAGCTTTCTCAACATTTTAGGCAGTGCTCGAGGAGGAGGGAGTGATGCTGGAAGCCATCCTCTGTACACACAAGCATTGGTGAGTTGTATTGTTATTTTTAGCATTTTATTCTCTCAACAACAAACATGGACAAAAAGTATGCACTACAAACAATTCAAAAGGCGTTGACCAAAATAATTATATCTCCCACCACTGAATCATTAATTCACACTTTTGTTTAATGTGCGTGCCCATGAAGTGTACACTGTAAACTGTCAGGTTTTATAAGTTTCCCACCCTCAGTAAGCTTCAAATATATCAAGTTTGACCAAATTGGCTTGCTTTCCGCAAAATCAACTGGATGAGTTAAAGGGAATTGTCGAGTCAAATCACCACATCCAGTTGCCACTGTCTGTGTTATCTGCAGGGATCACAGTGGAGGGAACAAATTGCTGAAAAGGCTTCATAGATCATGTCGAGTTTATGGAAATGCGGCTGATAACATTCCTGGCCTGACACAGTAAGTTCCAGCTTGCTCAATATAGCACACATGAGCAGAGTGCACTCACGGAAACCTCTGTGTAGGCACACACCACATAACAACTGACTTCACTGTGAGTTATTGTGCTCTGATAAACTGCACTTGAGTGCATGTCGTAACTGTGTTTGTTGACAAGGTAGACAATTAATGTCATCTATTTTCCCCCTCTGAGTAAATCTATCATTTTTGGCTTTTCTATGCTAGCGGTATCTCCTTCCCAGTTAATGTGCTGAATAATAACATTTATTTACGCTCCCTTATCCAAAGGGCCAAGGAGGATCTAATGTTGTCACTGATTGCTTGTGTAATGGTGGTTTTGTCTTTTTAGTCCTCTGTCACACAAGGACTCGGTAACACTAGGGTGTTTGCACTTCAAGGCCCTCTTTACGCCAGGACACACAGTGGGCCACATGATTTACCTGCTGGATGGCCGGCCACTAGGCGCTCCATCAAGTCTTTTCTCTGGTGACCTGGTGTTCCTCTCTGGATGTGGTAAGTAGGGTTGATCTGATTGATAAAATAATTTGGTTGCAAAAAGAAGTCAAAGCGAAATATCTGTCTCAAAGCTCTTCAGTGGTTGTTTTTCTATATGAACTAATACAGCAATTACTCAGACTCACGCATCACTCCATGTAGAAATAAGTTGGCATGATGGCAGTGAGCCAGGTGGAAAGAGTGCAAAAAGACAGCGAATGTTCAAAGTTTGGGATCATTTCATACTTGAAAAATAGGAAATAGTGCAATATGTCTACTGCCAACATACCACCACAGCAAGTCAAGGATCATCAACACAAAGTATCGATGTTAGTTAAGTAAATATTGACTACCACTGCTAGTTAGAAGATATTGTAATTCCCCCCCCCAAAAAAATAAAATGGTCAGGGGATATTCACATGTTCTAAATAAAATTAGTTATAAATTAAAAAAATATCACTTCAAACCTTCAAGGCAGACATTTTACTTTGACTTTTTTTTGCAATCCAGTGATTTCACTTATCTGATAAACTGTTTCAACCCTAAATACGGTATTAAAAAAACAAACAAAAAAACAACCAAATAAATGTGAGAAAGTGGCAAATATAAAGGACTGCTAACTTTTTCGCCCCGTTGACTGTCCCTGTCCTCCCCAATGAGGTCTTCCTCTTTGCCACAGCCGACAAGACCGACCCTCTGCAGATCAATGTAATCAACAAAAACAAGCTACTTGTGTCAAGTCCATTTTTTGTTGTTTGAAGGGAGGATATTTGAGGGCAGTGCCACAACAATGCTGTCATCGCTCGACACTGTTGGCTCCTTAAATGATGATACTCTTCTTTGGCCTGGTAGGAAGCTTGCTGACATGCATGCACGCACACACACACACACACACACACACACACACACACACACACACACACACACACACACACACACACACACACGTCAATGTCATTTTTAATGTGCTACGGATGCCCACGAACGCAATTAGTTGTCATGGCATAGCTGCAATTATTCCGCAATTAATGTCAGTTTCAACGCGGAGTGTGCACTTAAGTGTTATTATGCTGGTAGCTAATGTTGTTTTTCTTCGGGCCACGTGAATGCCTGTATGCTGGGTGACCCTCAGGTCACGAGTATGCCATGGATAATCTGCTGTTCGCTGCTGAGGTGGAGCCACGCAATGCAGCCATGGAAAATAAATATCAGTGGGTGCTGCAGCAGCGAGGCCAGAAGCGGTGCACGGTGAGAATGATACATCGCTGTCCTCGTCATACTGCCCAAAGATTTTGTAGATCCCGGAAGGAAGGCCTTCTCACCTACCAGTGTGTCAGGGCTGGTTGGCGTCACACGTTCTCATTGCAAGATAGAAATTTGCACAGAATGTTCTATACACAGCACCACCTCAAAAATCCTTTGCTCTCCAACTACCATCATTATGTATGAATGTTCTTTTTTAAATTATCATTATGAAGGCTGATGAGACCTTTGAGTACACCATAAAACAAGACAAAGCCTAAAAACATCGGTGCACCAAGCATCTTAATATGGCACATTGAACATTAAGGGCTCACTTGAATATGAGCCGTGCCAAACTGATAATATTGCTCAAAAACACTTGAGATTTTAAATAGCACTGAATCACTTCAGGCAGTGCTCATTTTAAAATTCCATCAATTGAAAAGCTCTTGAATCAAATCACATATTTATGTATCACTTTTAATACATTAAAAAAAAATCAACACAAAGTGATTTGCAGCGATAAAAACAGATGATGGATATAACAACAAATGTACAAAAACACTCCTACCATCCCCACATGTAAACAGCCACACACAGCACATATTAAGTGATAGTGCAGAGACATGGCAAGGCACTGAGGAGCCAGCTGAGAAAAAAAAAAACTGAAATCCTTTCCTTGCTTTTCAGTGTCCCTCCACTATCGGTGATGAGAAGGCGTACAATCCTTTCCTACGCAGCCACTGTACAGAGCTCCATCTGGCGCTGGGACTCCAGCAGCTGGACGATGAGGACTGGACTCAGTTTCGGGCTCGCGTGCTGGAGGAGCTGCGAAAACGCAAAGACCAGTTCAGCCGAAGATGATAAATAAGAGCTGATGTCAGACAATGGAGCAGTGGATAAAAGCCATGTTATCGTGTGGTTGCTGAGGTTTGCGTTAAAACGCAGTCAAGCCGAACATTACTGTACTTTCCCATCAACTTGCATCACCATCTCGTCACAATGTCATTATTTAATATCACTAGGGATTGTGACATTGCCATCGGCATATTGTGATCATACTGTTGATGACATTTAATTGTCAATTTGCACACGGAGTGTATATAGATCGCAGGTACAACCGGATTACCCTCTCGAAAAGGGTTGACATGGAAAATTTCAATTGCACTGTATTGTTTCCTGCACAACCTTTGTTAGTTATACAACAAATAATAAATACTGTATCTTTGTATTATCCCTAAGCTTTTGTTAGACCATCTTAGGTACATTTGGGTTTAGTGTGGCTTTAGTATTAGTGACCGCATGTTAGTTTTTCAAAATATTTTCCACAGGAATGTTCAAATGCAAAAGTGTTTTGCTCAAGTGAAAGTTTCCCCCATTTTTTTTTTGTCTTTACGCTTGTCTTTTTTGTGCTAACTGAGCTCGTTTTTAAGAGAAATGTAGATGACCGCATTCATTTAATGAGAAAATATTCAAAAGCTTCCTTTTTATTGCCAATATTTCTCTCATGAAGCAAAAAAAAAAAGATAAACGATCAGTGGGCCTGAGCGCTTCACACGCATTGTTCTGCATAGTGAGAGCTACCTGAAATGTAGTAACCGTAGTTCACTTTACTAGTCGTTTGTGACTTAAAATATATATGGTACGGTACATATTGTTTTGAAATGGGATGGGACTACTGTTGCACTGTGAGAGGATAATGAGATGCCATCTTAAATGTGATGCTATGTGACTGATGTTTGCATTTGACTTGCAGTGTAAAAAAGATTGCTTTCATAAAACAACATTCCGTTATTTTTGGAAGAACCTTTGTACATATTGAGACACATTGTGAATTTGATGGTTCATTTTACTGTGACACAAATGGCTCTGTGTAATACGACCGTTGTAATTCTCTTGCACATTAAACATTTCAGTCGACTCTTTGATAAAGATAATGTAATGCAGCCTGTATCTGTGGGGATGAGAAAGAACAAACCTGGGAGATATGAAAGATTCGAGTTTCTGCCGTAGAACTTAAAAACCAAAGCAGAATGTCCCCTGGTGACTGTTGACTAAAATGTTATTCTGGTTGTTTGATGCTGTTGCACATCTAATTTGCATATGTTTGAGTTCAGAACACAACCGCACAGGAAACAGTTTGACTTTAGGTTATGTTTTAATGAGGAAATATTCAAGTAAACTTTTCCCATCACAGCACCACACTGTCAAATGGCAATGGTATAGGACCACAATTGGGATGTTGTACTGCTGTGCAACCTCACTGGAATGAGCATTGCGGCAATCCAGTATTTTCCACGCATCCATTTAAATGTGATATTTTTGAATGCAAGTGAATACATACATTATAGTATTAGTTGATGGTGGGGTAGTGGTTATTCTCTTGGTGGCCTTGGAACCATGTTGAAAATAAATGTCCTCTTAATCAATCATATAAAACTACAAATTAAGAAAATGTGACCTAGTCACATTTTAAAAGTATAATTTTGGCCTACAGTATTAAGACTCGTTTAAAGCATCTTGATACCCATCCGGTAATAATGATTTCAAATGGAGTTATTTGCACAGAAATGGACTCCAATCCACGCTCCTCTCCCGGTTTTCACATCGACTACGTCACATTTGTATGCGGAAGTAGATCACTGGAGTACCAGCAGTGTGTATACTGTATTCGACACTTGTCTAGTGCAGAATCAAATCACAGCTTGTTGTTCAAAATGCTGAAGGCGGTAATTTTAATAGGAGGGCCTCAGAAAGGTGAGAATAACGTCTTGTCTTGTCGCTAGAGTCTGTCAGCGGGTTGTCACTTACGGGCTGTGAGAATGCTAATGCTAAAACTCAATGCTGTATTAGTAAGGTTATATTTAGCTGACGTGGCGGAACACGAGCAACTATAACATTTAAAATGTAACGAAATAATAATCTGACGACTAGTCGACTACGGGAACATAACATCGCTGGTCTTAGTTTGGTAATGAGTGAGTGTAAACAATACCTTGCTTGCTATCAGAAATACAAGACACCTGTTAGTTTGCTTACTTTTCTGTCATTTAAAGCGGTATTATATTAAAATGCTCACAATGCTGTACAGTCAGCAAAATATACGGGTTACTACGATGCTCAACTGCAAAAAACAAAAAAACAAAACAAAACAAAAAAAAAAAACCAACAAAGAAACCAAACAAACAAAACCCACAAATGAAAACAGCCGCACAGAATATAATAAGATAATATAAAAAGAGCCACTCCAGCGATCCAACTATTCATATGCAAGCCATTCAGAGGCACACATTTCTCAAAATGTGTTTAATTCTGTGTGCTATGTTCCTTTGCAGGCACGAGGTTTAGGCCACTGTCGTTTGAAGTTCCCAAACCCTTGTTTCCAATAGCTGGTGTGCCCATGCTGCAGCATCACATCGAAGCATGCGCCAAGGTGACGGCATTGCCAAGCTTATGGCAGCATTCCGTCCGATTGGTGGAAGTCTTCTCTTTGTCAACTTATTTTTGTGTTTTTCCCAAAAGCTACCAAATATGAAGGAGATCCTGCTCATTGGGTTTTACCAGCCCAATGAAGAGCTGACAAGATTTCTTTCAAATGCTCAACAGGAATTTAAAATTTCCATCAGGTAAACAAAAATTTAAACCACAACACTGGTTTAGCCCTTGTTAAATTAGTTTAATAACTCAAAACGCAACCTATAATATTGAACAATTTGTGGCACAGCTTGGAGATGATACACACTAAAAAGAATACTTCATGAAAAGAAAATAAGTATTGACATGAGGTATTCTTGGCCTGGGATGCACCTAAACTGCAAACCACTGAGGTCCACTGCGCACCAAGCGACTTGGCTAAACATGACTGAACTGTACAATTGCCAAAACAAATTGACTCCACGACTCTCAAATGCATATCAGGCAATGGACCCTCACACGCATAACCAATCAGTGGCTGCACTTATGTAGTTTGGAGGCTCTCCACACTTTTCCTTTTAGCTACAGGTGCGTATGAAATCATGAATATTGTCAAGTATTATTGTAAAACACGATATTCAGTATACAACTGATAGACTGAATTGGGTCGGTTCGGTGGCTGGCTTAATCCCGACACACACCAGGAAATGTGTTTTTGTTGTGAAAGTTCATGTGATGCAACATGGCATTTTTGATTGGCTACTACATATGCGACACTGCATTGCCGTTCACCTGCGATTCACATTTTGAATAACAGAAAAACAAACAGCAGAACCCCCCAGGCTGCCCGGCAATTCAACGGAATTTGCCCATGAACCTTATTAATTAATGAAACAAAACAAAAAACTCATAAATGTTCTCATTAACAGCATGCATTTTACATTGAGGCCTGGTCAAGAGCACCTTGTGGATGTGGATGTGTTTCAATTCTCCTACCTTCTGGTCTTCAAGCCAAAAGTTTTTGCTGAGAGCATGCAATGGCTTGTACCTGTTACGGTACTAATGCTACCTCATTACATTGTTTTGTGGTGTTTATGAAGAACAGTGACCTGGAAAAATGCACACCAGCACTGGTGTGTATATGCAAATTAAACATCAAACAAGGAACCCCGTCAAGGATGGGATTGGAACACATGCGTGCACAGCACAATGGATTAGCCATTCCTTGCCTGAAGCACTCGGCCAGGCCACCTCCTCCTTCAGCCTTTCCAAACTGGCATACTAATCACAGCTCGGCTTTTCTTGTGCACTGCAGGTATTTGCAAGAATATGCAGCCCTGGGTACTGGAGGGGGCATCTATCACTTCAGAGATCAAATCATCGCTGGTGGCCCCCAGGCTTTCTTTGTTCTTAATGCTGATGTGTGCACCGCTTTTCCACTGACAGAGATGCTCAGCTTCCAGAAAGAACACGGAGAACCAAACAGCTTTGTTATACTCGGAACAACAGTGAGCTTTCATGATTGGCAGTTGTTTTGTCATTTATTAAACTTTTTTTTTGTCTCCACTTTTATGTAATGTTCTCGAATTGGAGACCTTGTGTTATTATTTGGTTATTCAGAAATATTTCACATTTATATATTCTGCTATTTCCTTCCTCAGGCAAACAGGAAACAATCCCTGAATTACGGCTGTATAGTTGAAAATGAGGAAACAAATGAGGTAGATGACCTCCCGGACTCATTTCCATACATACTCATCCACCCATCACTCTTTCCGCTCCCAACCTTAACAGGTTTGTTTACTCATTAGGTGTTGCATTATGTGGAAAAGCCGAGCACATTTGTGAGTGACATCATCAACTGTGGCATCTACCTCTTTAATCCCGAGATCTTCCAGCATATTGGAACAGTCTTCCAGAAAAATCAACAAGACATGCTGCTGTGAGTTGTGGAACCGCCTGTCTGGGATTCGTGGGTTTGTGTGTGCACACGCGTGCGTGTGTGTCTATTTGTTTGCTTTATGATTTTGGTTGTCTTCATTTGTCTCTTTTCCCTTCCTTCCCCCACTATGATTTTGTGTTTGCCCACACAATCATCAGTTTTCCATATGATGGGTAAGTGGGTACCTGTCTACTGCACTGTGTGGTTGTAGAGTACTAATAGGTTGCTGTGAATTACCTGGCAACAGTGTGTGAGTTTGCATAGGATGCTTTGTGATTGCTGTCCATGCTCTTCTTTCGCTGTCTTTCTTTTTAAAAAAATTTTTTTTGAGTTAAAGTTCCAATGAAACATTATGGTCAAGTCATCACAAAAATAGATTGTTTTGGGTGTTCCACAAACCGTTTTAAGCCTCTCAAAACTGTTTCTTTGGCTTGGTCTTGACAGCCACCAGAACTTTAATGCAACCCTCAACACAAATGCTGGATAATCGCTCAGGATAATGTTTCAGAGACATCCAAAAACGGAGCCTTGCTCGCTTTGCTGAGAAGGGGTGAATGCTCAAATTTGATCCCAAGACCAAAGTGTGCACCCAGCTTAAGACTGGAAACAAGTCTCGCAAATTGTCCTGTGGATGTGATCCATGGAAAAATTCAGCAGCTCACATGTAAGCATGTGGTGATTGTCATTTTTTTTTTTTTTTCCCTTTCCGCACTTTGTACTGCTGCACTGTGAAGTTGGCAAATATTTTTGTGGCGACATCCTGCACATGGTCAAACTATTACTTGGTTCTTGAACTTGATAAAGTAAATATTTGTTTTGAATGAAGTGCAAAAAAACCCAAAAAACTAATCTGGTCCCTCATAGATGGGGAAAATACATGGGATATTTTGGAAGTTTGGAAGTTATACTTTGTATTTTGTTTGTGTTTTGTGTGCTCGATGTTGTGCCCCAAAGTCTTGAGGCTTGCCTGACAAAAGCGAAGCCGTACTGCATACTTAACCAGGCTACAATCCACCTACATACAAAATTACCACTGAATCAGCACAATTTCTGATCATAGAACTTGGAAGGAATGAAAGTAGATGCAGGGCAACATCTCACAGGGATGACTTTGCCTCCAACCATACCGCCTCCTTTGGTAAATCTCCCATTATGGGTGGAATCCTTAAACATGTTCTTTTCATCAATATTTAACACTCTGTTTCATCTCTCGGCTCTCACAATACACTTTTAGAGAGATGCTGATTAGTATGGAGAGCCATCCACTTAAGGTTTTGATCAAATGTAGGATCGGCTTTGGTTTGAACCCCGAGCTGACAAGTGATGCGTTTTAACTCTAATCGCGCTTGCATTCAATTCTCAGCGCTGGTTTGGAGAGTGTTTGATGAATTTTTGGGGGGCTTTTCAGGTGATCATCCAAGTGGCCGCATAGATAAAACATCAAATTTAGACTGAAGAACTCTTCATATATTCTGTCAATCAAAATATTTTAGGATTTTCATTGTACCCTCAACAAAGTGATATACTGTATTGTATATGTAGCGGGAAGCAAGTACAGTGATTGGCTGCAGCTCGCGGCGATAGGCTGCGGCCCTCTCATAATGAGGACAAGCACTACAGAAAAAAAGATGGATGGATATTATGTGCGTTTGTCCCCAAAATGCATCGTCTTTTCAGCCAACTGTAATTTTTTTTGTTGATCCAAAAAACAGATCCTAACCAGATTAAAAAAACAAAAACAAAACGTGAGTTTATTTGAATGGCTGACAAACGCTCTGCATCAACGCATCGAAATCGATTATTACTTAGTTTGTGTGGGTATTGTTTCATCCCGGGGACTTCATCATGCGGTACCAGTGCACAAGCACTTGTGTCCTGTAATTGAAGGACTACAGTCAAGTTTTTGTCTCCGGCAGAGAGGAAACAAACAACGGCTGGCACAGAGCAGAAGCCATCAGGTTGGAGCAGGACATTTTCACCGCTCTAGCTGGACAGGGCAAACTCTACGTTTACAAAACACTCCGATTCTGGAGCCAGATAAAGTCGGCGGGGTGAGTGAAACATGAACTTAATCTTCGTCTACCCAAACGCTTGTCAGCTTGTAATATTTACTTTTATTTATTTTTTATTTTTATCAAGCATATACCACTTTAGAGTTGAACTGGTAAAATGTGTTTAATATGATTCAGATTTTTGTTTTCTTCCAAAGGTCTGCAATTTATGCAAGTCGATTATACCTCAATCAGTACAACAAATCCCATCCGGAAAGACTGGCCTCAAATAAAGAAGGGGGTCCTAAAATAAGTGGTACGGCTCATTGCTCTGTTGCATCATTGGCTTCAAACATTGCACCGACCCAAAGTCTTTCAAATCGCTTGTTCTCTAGGTAATGTCTATATCCACCCTACTGCCAACATTGACCCCACGGCTGTGGTGAGCATCATTCAACATGATTATTTCATGAATGCACAAGCATCTCATGTTGAGGACGGATTAAAACGAAAGCATTAATTGCAATGTCATCAATTCTCGCCATGCAGTTGGGTCCTAATGTCACCATTGGTACTGGTGTTACGATTGGTGCCGGGGTTAGAGTTCGGGAATCCATTATCCTCCATGGCGCAACTCTACAGGTAAGTCCTTCCAAGTCAGTTTGATGCCGTTAAAGAGCATGGCTGCTCTATTGCAGGTTTAAGAGAGAGCGCTTCATGTAATCACCTTCCAGTTGAGTTATACTGACCAGAGACTATTGTTGCATGTATTACTAACCCGATGCAAATGACAAATATCTTCAGCCGTTTTTGCAGCTCTCTTCTGTAGCTTGGGATTTTGTTTTAAAATGTTGACTGCATGTGAAACCGTTCAAAACAGCAAATCTCCTCGATGATTTACGCAGTCCCTGATTTGCAGATGTGACTTGGACACACACACTCAAAAAGATTCTCCAGAGCTCTTGGATCTCAAACCCTGTTTGACTGTCGTGATTTCACAACCGGTTTGAACAACCTTTGCAGTGTTTTGTCATCGTTATATAACTGACTTGACACACAAAGCAAAACATCGGTCATAAGTGTGGAGAACACAAACGCAAGCAAGCAGCTCATGGCAGGCAAGCCACAGAGTGTGTCCCTCTTTGCCCAAGAACAAAATTGCTGAATGGCCCGAGAGCAAAGACAAAAACAACACATCAGAATGAACAAGTACAGTCGAGCGCAACACTTTATCGTAAATGAGAATGCAAGGAAACAGGGGATCTATAGAGACTAATGACAAAGATGAGACACAGTGGGCAGAAGACACGACAGAGCTCTGCGGACGAGACCAGGTAGAAGTAATTACACGAGCACAGGAAAGGAGACCATGCACAAATAGACAAGCAAAACAAAACACAAGTCCAACAGAAACTCTGCAGTCCTGATTAGCCCGTCTGTAAGTAAACGTACTACAGTTGAAGCATATTTCTCTTCCAATATATATTACAATAAAGGGCAGCACATCTGCCTTACAGTTATGATTCCCAAAAAAATTAATGGATAGAATATTGTTAATAGTTTGTCCAATGATTATGCCACTTCAAATGTTCAGGCTGCTCAAATGTCCCCCAGTTATAATTCGTGGATTCTATTTGTTTTGCCTACAAAATGGTTTGCCATTGAATTATTTATGTTTGAATCGATATTTTCCCTCCAGGACCAATGCTGTGTCCTCCACAGCATTGTAGGATGGGATAGCACGATCGGCAAATGGGCGCGAGTCGAAGGAACTCCCAGCGACCCAAACCCCAATGACCCGTACGCAAAGATCGACAGTGAGACCCTCTTCAGAGAAGGCAAACTCACACCATCCATCACTATTCTTGGTAAGATTCCCTTCATGTTTGCGTTGTTCGTTTGTTGTTCCACTTCATTTTTTTTCCGCTCTTGTCACTAGCTTGTCGTTATAATACCACACATCTTTTCATATTCACCCGCAGGTTGTAATGTGTCCATTCCCAGAGAGGTGATAATCCTCAACTCTATTGTCCTGCCACACAAAGACCTCAACCGCAGCTTCAAGAACCAAATTATTCTCTAGCTAATCTTCCTCGCGCTGCGTTTCCTCTCTGTGTCAGTGGTGAGGGACACACACGACACGCACCTCTGAGTAACTGTATATAACATGTCAGGAATGAAGATATGAGACATTCATTAAGCTGTTTTGAAAGATAGATTTTTATGCGTTTGTCCTCAAGGCTTTATGCATCACTGGGTGTCAGCGGTATTAAAGAAAGAGCAATCACACATGTTGATTCACCTTGAAAAGTGCTGTCAGGGGCCAAAGTTATTAACTTTAGCAAACTCTTCAATTACCGTCAGCGCAAGAGTAATATATTTGGCGGATGTTAATATGATGTAAAAAGAGTTTTATAGATGAGCACATTATGTTTCCCCAAGGACAAAATATACAGTCCGCCGCAAGAACAGTAATTGTAAGTAAATACAAATTACTGACTAGTGACAGTGGGTAAAAATTGGAGGTGATTATTTGTGCCGCGCTTTGATTAAAAGATTTTAGCGCATTAAGTGCCAGTGAAAACTGACAAAATAAATCAGTGACTAAGATATTGAAATTGCAATCAAGTAGCATTGTGTTTTTTTTTTTTTTTCTGTGTGTGCATAGCAGGAGGCAAAGACTGTCAAAAATCAACAGCACATGGTGAAATTGAGAATTTGCAATCACTGGAGGAACTGTACCCATCGACGTGTACGCCATAATAGCAATTTACTGTTCTTAATTAGCTGTTCAGCCATCGTGATCACTTCTGCACTTTAGTTTCAATAATTGCGAGGTGATTGAGAAATGGAAATCGAGATATTGGAGCTGTCGTCAGTTTTACCTGCCAATTCATTTGCCTTAGTCCGTCCAAGTCGATTCTGTTGAAACGGCAGCACATTAAAGTGAATCAGGTTTTCCAACAAAGTGTTTCTTTGAGTTGTGTGACTTCCACTGACACTATTAGTAAAATCGTCATCATGCCTTAAATGTGCTACTCTGGACGGCCAAGGTTAAAAACAAATGTGTGCACAAGGTGACTGCTATTTTATGTTTTTCACTTGGCCCAAATGAAGTTGACAGACTTTTTATGTCCTCTTTTTGTTCTGAGTGTGCCCCCCGCACCCCTCCCTTGGACACTAAATTTGTTTTTCTTCTCGAAAATGAAAATAGTCACAGTAATTTCAAGGAAGGACAACCTGTCAAACACAATCGACTCAGTAAAATAATTCCGAAGCGCCACACTTCAAAACCTTGCAGGTGGAAGTGTCTGAAAGGCGGGAGTCACTGAGGGCTGCGCTACCCTATGTGCATTTGCAGCATCCATCCTTTTTCTATAGCACTTCCTTTTGAAGGCCGCGGGCAAGCTGGAGCCTATAACAGCTGACCGTATGAGTCCACCCTCCCTCTCCCGATTGTCGCTCGCAAGCCATTATTAATTTATGTATCGTAAGCGCACTCACACCGAGCTCTACCAAGAATAGCAAAGCAATGCCAGTCATTGAAGCGCCTCCAAAATGTTTGTAATTGACTACTTTAAAGCTGTAAATATACCACTAGCTATGATCCAAACCACCATCATTTCAAAGTCACATTAATGATTTAATAATGCGAAAAATGCAATAGCATTATTTGCCTTTCAAAACAGCAATTGTCAACCAATAATGGGACTTCTTTTGTTTGTCATCTTGAGCTTCTTAATAGCCAACCAGCAGAGCAAAACTATACATTACGGTATATTGTATATTGTGCCTGGATTTTTTTTTTCTGACAGACATTAATGTTGTTTTCCATCTTGACAATGGAAGTGTTCACAGTAATATCAGGAAAGGACAGCCTGTCAAACACAATTATGTCAGTAAAATAGTTCGGAAGCACTGCACTTAAGAACCTCGCAGGTAAAAGTGTCTCAAAGGGGAATCAGTGAGGGCTCAGCTCCCTTATGTGCAACTGTTACGTCCATCCATTTTTTTTGTGTCACGCTTGTCCTCATTCGGGTTGCGGGTGAGCTTGAGTCTTATCCCGGCTGACCTTGGGGAAAGAGGCGGGGCACACCCTGGAGTCGTCTCCAGTGAATCGCATGGCAGCAATTGTAGTGTGCAAACCAATAATTAAGTATGCATTTTAATAACAATGGGGGCGGGGGTGACAAAACTGAATTAGAATGGAGGCTGCGCATCACTGAGTCTCGAATGTTCCATTAAGTAATGTTCAATACATTTACAGCAATACTGTTGAAATCAAATTGTAGTGTGTTGTTTGTTGATTCAGACAATCAGTCCTCACTTATAACCCAGAAATACTCCTCAAATGTAAATTGTATCCATTATTCTCATGATTGAGATGTCTAAGGCTCTGACATAATGTTAAAGTGATCATTTATCGGTAAGTACTTAAAGTTCGATCCTACCTACTGTACCTAAGCATATATTCAAATGCAGAAAATCATTAGGGTTCAATGAATAATCAGTTCTGACCATCCCCACCAAAAACAAGTCAACCTTTTGGAAAAGACCACGTTGACTACAAAAAGCAACGCTTGTTAGACTTCAAAGTAGTTGGAGTATTTCTCAAATCTGTGGCTTATGCGATTATGTTTGCATATCAAACGCGGCACATGGCTGATAGGAATAAAATACCTGCTGAATTCACTTCAAAAGTCCACTTTTGCAATCCATAAACAACTTCTCTCATACAAGCACTTCGCCTCAGGCACTCAGGGAAGGAGACGGAAAGTTGTCAGAACAAGACCCACGGGAAGGAGATCAGCATAATGTTTATTTTCTACTGTACTCGCTTCAAATAAGAGGAGAATGTACAAAACCGTTTACCAGTGGGGAACATCTAACATTAAGATTAACAAAGGCGGCAAATTAATAGTGGATTAGTAATTATTGTTTTTTCTTATCGCCTGCTTATAGCATAATCGCAAATGCACTTTGCAACAAGCACATCTGTTAAGTGATAAGAATAATTGGCTGCAATCCCAGTGGCAAATCAGAATGAAAGGAATCAAAAGAAATAAAACAGCTTCAGTCTGAGGGGAAGTTGTTTCTTTCCCAGTTTGTTTGCACGTATACATGAGCGTGTGTAGGTCTGGCACGAGAGGCCTGTTGGACTATCGGCGACGGTCCAGGGATGTTTCCACCTGAGAAAGCAGGTGGAGGGTCTGCATGAGCGTCAAGTGAGAGGAAGATGCCTAACAGAAAGCCTAAAGGGCTGACAAATGGGCTGTCAAATAGGAACTGACATCTCCGGCTCACATGGTGAGGAAAAATAGCATTTGGCTGTCGGGCATCGCCAGTGAATGCTAATGTTTTGCTAAACTGCACTGTGAAACATTAAAGAGTGCCAGTTCCCTCACTCCCCTAACAGGTGTGAAGCAGGTGGTTTTGTGGCTTTCAAACGTTGCGTTTCTGACAAATTCAACGTGGAAATTCCCCCGAAGTGATTAGCATACCAAAGATGAATTCGTCTCAAAACTCTGTTCAGTTACCGGTAAGTTGCATTAATGCGCTAAACACGGTGGCATGTTATCAGGACTGTTGTGTTATTAGCAGGAATCAGTCTGCACGTTTTAATGAGATGCAATGTAAGAGCTGAACCAAAACTTTTGCCTCAAGATCGTTTTTGATTGACTGCGTCAGGCATCTGGTACATTTAGTGTTGCAGAAGTAAACGTGATGCAGTAACATTTATATGCTCTTTGATATGATGCGGTGCAGTTCTCCACTGTAACTTGAAATACTATGTGCGTCTTCTAAAGAATGTTGTGAAAAACCCTGACAAATCAGATTATTATTTTTTTTTTTTAAGGCAAATGTATAAGACGAGGCTTCAAAAAGGGGAAAAATAAAGCTGTCATCTCATCAAACGTTTTGGCCATATCTGCCAAGCGAATGAAAATACGCCCTGTTTTAAAACGGATACTACTTCCCCTAGCAACGTTCTTGAACCTACACTGTCCTACGCGTTTGAGCTGTAAAAACAACTGCCTAAAGCCTCTGGTGACTGGAATATATTCCACTGAGTCGTAGGGCTTTTAACACCAGCGAGAGCCGCTCACTTCCTTGCTTGGGAATTTAAATAATGAAACCGAGCTGTTCTGTGAATTGTGGCATCCAGCGAAGATGCATTTTTGGGTTGCTAGCATAGCTAGCTAGCTAGCTAGCTAACAGCACGTTGTAGTGGCAAATGCATGTTTGTATATACAGCAGTGGGGAAGGAGCGACTCATGTCGGACGCCCAAATGCTTTCCTGGGAGCCGTTTTAGCCACCCCAACAAAATCAGGAAAATTGAAATGGTCAAAACAAAATAGCCAAAAAAACTTTAATGCTTTGTCTCTAAAATTAAGTATTATATGGTTCTGTCTTTGCATAAATTTTCAGCAATTATCTTGAAACATGTAGAGTAGAAACCCATCTATGATTTCACTGTGCAAGGTTAAATGAATGTTAAATTTACTGCAACTTATACAAAACACTTCCAACTCCTCAGTGGCAGATATGTGCTGTTGTGATTGCAAGCTGACAACTTTGAAAGGACTTGTGCATTTTTTTTAACTTGTGTTTTTCACACTGTTGAATACAGAGGAGCTAAACCCAATCCGAATCATCGCTGTGAAAACGGCCTTAGTTCCACTTCTCAGCAGAGTGAATTTTCATTACAGTTTTCGGCCGCTTTATCCTGTGTCCCTCTTTGGTCAGTGCTTCGAACAAGGGATTTAGCACAAGCATCGGATGAAAACAAGAGAACCCATTTCAAGTGGACCGGTGCAAGGGCATGAGCACGTTTGCAAAAGCCTCTTTTGGGAAAGGCTTGCTCACACAGTAGACACAAAAAGAAAACGTGTGAAATTATGAATACTGTAGCCTACAGGTTACTGATGCCAAAATAAGTGTGTGCTATGTTGCCAATAATTGTGACACTGTCTCACAAATCTCAATAATCAATATATTGGAAAGCTAGGTAGCTGAAAATGGGGAACTGGTAAATAAATGAGTTATTAAGCATGTTTCCACACCGTCTGTAACTGCAGAGTGGTGCAAGTCAGGAGCAAAGAGTGCGGAAATGACAGAGGATGCCCAAACGTTGCAAACGGATAATTGAAAATTGCAAATTCCTCATTTAAAAATGGCAAAGCTGTAGTTGGACCATTCTTTTACCCAATGGCTCAAACAACAGTTATACACAGTGAAATAAATGAATACGAACATACTTAAGATGTCTTCAGTCACTCGGGATTTAAAGAGTGTTTCATAACCCCCTATTCATGTTTCAAGCAGAAAGGCCAGTGAAGCCAGCTGGAAAGCTTCTTGCTTCCCACCGCAGGGTAGTCCATGATCCAGGAGGAACCTCGTGCAATATTAATTTTGACATGCACAACTAGATCACTCTTATCATCAAAATCAAAAGTCGTTAGTCAACAGAACCAACATGCATGGCAGTTGACAATGCTTACCTGTCACGCAGTAATAGAGAATGGCAATATGTGCTTATGTGCACGGTTTCTATTTAAAGAACGATCCTTGCTGTGCCTATTTAGTTTGTTGAAGTTGGAGCATATGGAGCACAGTGTGTCTGGTGCTCTTGCTACTGCTGTGTTGGCAGATGTTTGGCAGACATCCCCTGGAATGTAATCGAACTTTCCACTGTATATACAAGTAGATGTCTTGTCAAAGCACATTTATGTATGGTGTGTTCCACCCCATCAACCTGTGAAGCTTCCTGGCCTCGGAATGACTTGTGCGCTTTGCATATTATCGCCCACCAGTGTAACTTTCGAGAAGTATGCGCGACTGTTCAAAAGTTTGGGGTCAGTTAGAAATGTCTTTTTTTTAAAGAAGATCACAAGGGTTTTTTTTGTTGGTTTTTAAAACCACATCAGGGGGGAGTATTGTACTGGAGGCTTAATAAGAAATAAAAA